GCCTAACTCTTCCCATGCACTGTACAAGAGGCAGAGGTGCTTAAGGCTGTGGACACTCATTACATTTGTAATGCTACAAATGCCCTGTTGTGCTACAGAATGTGAGTGTACACACATGCAGACTGTCTGTAGTGCTGCAAAAGTGGCACAAGCACTGCAGAACTCTTCCTGTTTGAAACAGGAAATACTCTGAAGTGCTACATTTTGTAACACTACATGTAATGTAGCAAGTTATATATAGGGCTACAGAGGGTCTCTTGAACCCCCAGCATCCCATAGTGCTCCATTCTCCCTCCCTGCACTCTGAGGAGTAGGGTGAAGATTGGCTGGCTCCCTGACAGCCCACCCAGCTACCACTGGTATGGCAACAGCTGGTATCCCTGCTGCCAGCAGCTAAGGAGGCTTCCCGCAGTTGGATCATCTAAGGGCTGCCCCACAATTCAGAAGCAGCCCAAACAGCTGATGCCACTTTCTCCCCTGCTGAGAGCAGGCAGAAGCTGTCAAACACAGCCCCCCCACCCCCCTTTCCCTGTCACCATGCATGAGGGTGGTGGGGGACAAGACGAGCAACTCTGCTCACCACCCCTGAGGCAGTGGTGGAGGGGATGGAGAGCTATTTTTGTTAGCTGCTGCTTCTAGTTTGGGGGCAACAGACTGAAGTCAACTTATAACTGACAGCCTGCCCATCTTCCCTGGCAGGCTGAGAGGGTAGGCTGTCAGTGATTGGGCTCATTGCCTGGCTCCCCTGTGAGCAGGGGAGCAAAGGAGAATCCTTCTACTTGGAGAGCACACCTCACAGGCCATGTCTACACAAGATGCTCACTTCACAGTAGCTCATACCTACTGCACAGTAGTGTCACGGGGCATGAACTGTGATGTGACGCTACTACGCAGTAGTAATGAACTACTGTGCAGTACTGATGAGCTACTACACAGTCAACATCACCACAAAGCCATGTGAGGATGCTACTGCACATTAACTCCAGTTACTACGCAGTCATTTAGTATTTGGATATGCAAGTACTAAATGACTGCACAGTAACAACAGCACAGTCAGTGTCTCATGTAGATGCAGCCACAGTGACTTCATAGCATTCCAGCCAAGGGGCTGTGTGCACATGCATTCCCCTACAGTGTTTTATTTTTGTAGGGCTACAAAATACCATACTCTTTGTAGCACTATGAAAGATCGTATGCCCATAGCCTAACTGAGGGCTCTGAATACCACTTATGTGGTCAGGCATCTAATAAGTACTGCAACACTGAAGTTTCAGGTGCCTAAGTCTTTTTTTTTTTTATTCAGTCCTGAGATCTTTAATGGAACAGCTAAGAATCTGGCAATGACTTACAGTTAGGTTTGAGTTCTTGCCAGTTTATGTGAATAAGTGAAATGTAGATCAAAGTATGGAAAAGTGATTTTGAGGCATCCTTAGTAATACATAGAAGGAAGACTATTTAATACCTAATTCAACAAAACACTTAAGTGCACACCTAACTTTCATTATGGTGGAACTTAAAAAGCATGTCCATTAAGGTGCACAAGTACTTTTCCAAACAGGAATAGCTCTAAGCACATGTTTACAATGAAACACAGGTCCTAATGCTGCAGTTATTTCACAAGCTTTATTCTTTTATTAAAAACAAATAAAGTGAAGTTTACTAGATGGTATGATAAGCTCTGGTACCTATAATAACAGCATTATCCAGGTAAATTCTAACTCAGATAATTGCCTGCTTTCCCCGCAGTTTCAGCTGGATACAGTATCCTTCACCTGTCATAAGTACTGCATATGGTTACTATGTGCTATTAAGCAGTTGGCATACTTCACCCTAGAGGTGGTTACATTTCAGTGATTATTGAAATGGTTATTACCTAATGCTTCAGAGGACAATTAATTACTTCTGTAATGGCCCTATTCGATTATGCATGCTGTATCGTTACGACCCTCCATAGCCTTTACATATTACTTTATATCTACTAATTGGCTTATAAATGTAGGAAGGATAGAATTCCCTCCTGCCTTCTCCAGTGATCACTTTATGATGTAGGGAGGATGATTTGATTATCTTAGCTTGACATCAGTTGTAGACCAATGACCAAACCCCTTTCAAAGTCAGATCCTTGCTAAAACTGATTAAAATGAAGAGCAAATAAAAACAACAGATAAAGAAAATAGATTAGAATTCATGCTAGGAATGAGTTCTGTGTACATATTTTTCAATTGCAATCAGTTTTCAAACACCCCAGAATTTGTGGGTATTTATAGCACATATTCTGATTCAGTCTGCTTATACATCAGGGCTACTAGTAAATAATAGATCTGGATTCTACAAAGATTCCCCTTCCTGGGAGGCAGTGTGGGATGGGGCAGTGGGAGGTGGGGGTTGCACAGGGCCGGATGCAGTAGGAGCTGGGGCATGGGGGCATGTGCCCCGCTTTGGCTCCCCCATGCCATGCCCCTGAATGAGTTGCGGGGCTCTGGTTGCTCCATGACCCGGCCCAGGTGGGGCCCCATTCATGGTGACTGGGACCTGGTCAGGCCAGGTCGTGGGGCAAATGGAGCCCGTCGGCTCCTCCAGGGGCACGGCACAGGGAAGCCAAAGCTGGGGGCTGTGGCCCCTCAGTCTGTGCACGGGGCAAGGGTGGGCTGCAGCTGTGAGCTGTGCTCAGCCTCTGCTCCCTGCCTCACTGCTGCTACTTTGACAGAGGCATAGTGCCATGTGAGTCCCACCACTGCGGGGGTCAAGCAGCAAGGTACATGGCGCCATGCTGCTATCAATGCAGCAGCAGTGGGGCAGGGAACAGAGGCTGAGCACAGCCTGCCACTGCAGCTTGCCCTTGCCCCATGCACAGACTGGGGGGCCACAGGCTGCACTCCTGGTTAAGCCATGGGGATCTGTTTGCCCCATGACCCAGCCCAGCCCAGGCCTTATTCATGGTGATTGGGGCCCTGGCCAGGGTGGGTCATGGGACAATCAGAGCCCAGTGGCTCCTCCAGGGGTGTGGCACAGAGGAAGGGGGGAATGGGCCCAGATATGAAGTGGGGCATGGGCCTGGACCCAAACCGGCAGGAGGGGGAGAGGGGGAATGAGCCCAGACCCGAACCTGTGGGGGGAGGTGGGGATGGGCCTGGACCCAGGGGCAGGGGGGAGACGGGCCCAGACCCAGACCCAGGGGTGGGGGACGGACGCAGGTCTGTGTCCCTGCCCACCGGTCATTGTTGTTGGGTAATTTACTACTAATCATATATACTCAAAACGACATGAGATTGGCTGCTCTGGGATCTATCTATCTATCTATCTATCTATCTATCATATACAGGGTCTTCATAAAGTTCTTGTGCACTTTTAAAATTTAATAACTTAGGTTGTAGGTGTGATAGAAACAATCTGTAAATGGCATTTATAAGCAAATGTATTAAGGTTTTAGGACAACTAGAGTACACAATGCTAGACTTCAACATAACCACCATCCATCATGATATAGTGCTCAATCTGATTTTCCAACTCCTTGAAAACATTTCCCAGTTGCTCTTGAGTTACCTCACTAATTGCATTGGTGATCCTAGCCCTAAGTTCCACCAAAGGACGTAGTTTTGACAAGTAAACTACACTTTTAACATGTCCCTATAAGAAGAAGTCCAATGGCGACAAGTCAGGTGAACAAGGTGGCCAAGCAATTGGTTCACCTCTGCCTATCCACTCACTGGGAAAATGTCATTTAGGAACTGTCATACATTCAGAGCATAGTGGCACAGAGCTCCATCTTATTTAAGAATAAATTCATTATTACTTATGAAGTCTAGCATTGTGTACTCTAGTTGTCCAAAAACTTTAATAAATTTGCTTTTAAATGCTGTTTACAGATTGTTTCTATCATACCTACAAGCTAAGTTATTAAAGTTTAAAAGTGCACAAGGACTTTATGAAGACATTGTATATATGATAAGAGAACTGGGAATGATTGAACAAAAAACGGAGTCTACCTCTGATAGCATAGATATTTATGTATCCTATCCTATCAGATATATTATATAATATCTATATTTGATAGGAGAACTGGAATGATTCAACACCTTCTGAGCCAGCCTACTTGCAGCTTTCTCTGTGACACACAACTATACTCCCTCTACGTGTCTCAAGAACTGGAAATCCTTTGCAAAAGCTATCCTGGGACCCAGTCTCACACTGATGGAAGGCAATAAAGGGTTCTCTTTTGAATTCAGTGGAAGAATAATCAGGCCCAGAACCCATTTTCCAAAAGAAGTGAAGAATCAATGTCTCTGCCACCCTTTAAAAATCATTCTGGATGTTAGCATGTCAACAAGACTAGAGTTCTTTCAAATACAGCACTTGTGGTTTGATTTTCTGGGTGTTGCCTCTCTATTTGTTAGATTGTTTTTTTTTAACTTGCTTCTCATGTTTTTTGTTTCATAGGCTTTACTCTTGTCTATTGTTTGTAATTTTAACTTTGTTCCACAGCCCCTTTAGCTTAAGTTCCATTGAAGTAATTAAACTCTAGTTGCAATTTATTTTTACATCTAATTTTTTAATCTGTTTCCCATCTCAGAATGGAAAAAAAAAACCCTTTCCAGTAAACTTCATAACCAAATGGGGGATGATGGGTGAAGCAGGGGGGGGGGGGGGGGGGGGGGGGGTTATCCTTGGCTTTGGTCTGTATTGGATCTGACTGGTTGTTTTGTTAATGCTTCTTTAATGTATTTTATGGCAGGATGGTTAGTTGCCTTGTAATAGTCACCTTCTGCATGAATTAAATACATAAATGAAAAGATTATTATATCCTGAAAGCCCTCTGCTGAAGTGCTGAAACATAGAGACCTCTGGTGCCATTAGCAAATCTGTACATTGAGCAGGGGCCAGGATCACAATTTCCACATACCATACATAGGTGGAGGGCTTGTTATTCACGGTATCCCGCCTACTGGAGGATGCCACTATTGTTGCTGACATTGCTGACCATGACCTGTTGCCAGTTCTTCGAGATTAATCCTCTGCCTCTCCAGCAGCCGCAGATAAGTGTTTTGATATATTGCTAGATGGATAGGATTTGCAGTGTCTCGCAATCCTGCTGATACAAAATGCCTTTAAGATCCTGCCTTTCCCATCCTAATCTACAAAGGAAACAGGAAAAAGGAACTTAAACTCCCTGTACTCAGACAGCAATGAGACTGTTGCAGTTTGCTCCTGCACTGCAAGTTTTTGCCTTTGACTTGTAAACAACAGCCCTTGTACCATGCAAGTGAAGAATAACCAGTGAAGGGTATACTCTGTTAAAGGATATTCCTAACTCCATGAGCTGCTGTGGAAACTGGATGGATACATTTTGGAAAGCATGGACCCTTTAGCACACTTACTTCTCTATGGATTCAGCCTGATGATTTCAGGTAAGACTTCATTTTAATTTCTGCCATGCCACAGCTCTACTGTTTCTCTCACAATACATGGGGGGCTCACTTCTTAAATCCCTGCTTTAGTGAGTTATCCTTACTAGCTTAATTGTTGATCTTGACTTTGCCTACATAAAGATTTCTCAGATGAAGAGAGGGTAATGCATGCAAGTAGGCAGATCTTGTAAGCACTAAATGTAAAGTTATAATTTCATTAATGAAAAGGTTATTTCATATCATGGTAATCTCCAAGGTCAGAGATGCTTTACTCAAAGATGATCATTTTCTGAAGCACAAGGAAGCCTATCCTTTTCCATGGGCTTTCAGTCATTCAGCATTAAAGTACTGTGTGACAAAGTTGTTTGTGTAGTTTTAGGAATAGGTTAGACAAGGACTTGTATGGGATGGTTTGGATGGGAATGATCCTGTCTTGAGTAGGGAGTTGGATTAGATGACCTCTGGAGGTCCCTTCCAACCCTAATTTTCTATGATTCTATGCTTTCCTTGCCGGCATCTCCGTCTGACCATCTTCTAGAAAGTCTCCTCAATACGACACACAAAACAAAGCCTGGGAAAGGGAAACAAGCCTGAGAGACCTTGAGATAGCTTTACAGCAGAACTCTTGTTCCTTGTTCACTCCTAAAAGTTCAGCTTCAAATCTCATTTTGATAGTGACAGGACATTTCTAGTTTAAATGTCACATGCAGTACAACTTCACATGATGCTACTGTAAGAAACAGAAGGGAACAGCAAAGGAAAAAATGTTTAACTGTGGTATAACTTGCATTACAATTTATTGATCAGGTAAAAAAAATTTAGAAATAGCATCTAAGTATTTAGAAAAGTCTGAAGATATATGCATACAAAAATTTAAATTTAAATTTGGAGTGTGGATATGTGTGCATCACTACATAATTACTATATATCATTTACTGCTCTCTTGCGATGTGAGTGTCTTGCTAGTTGTAGCTTTAGAGCAGTTCATGTCTCATTTCATTACTGACTTCAGGGATAGTTGGAGAATCCCCTGAGCATTATGAACAGAGAAACTAAAAAGAAAATTTCAGTTTATCTGAGCTCCTTTGCTCAGAAACTAATCATCCCTGAATCTCCCTTCCCCAGAGCAAACTCATATTGCACACGCTGTTTTCTGCAGGAAGCAAGTAAAATTCATTAACACATTGGAATGTGAGAGAAACAAAGGCTAGCTATGCAGATTAACAATAAATGTGGACAGTATGCTCATGTGAGTTCAGTATTGAAGAGCTGCCAGTCACAGCCTTTTCCACAGGGCTTGACCAGTTAGGTGTGTACTGGAGTCACACCCATCTCAATAGATCTGTCAGCTTTCCCACTTTTGTTCAAGTGTGATATCATGTTTCCTGGGGCTAGCGGTGGAAGACAATGCTAACCCGCTTTCCTCTAGATACAACAGGCGGAGTCCAGGAAAGCAGTATTGACATTCCCTAAGCAGGAGAGGCATTAAAGTCAATGCGACTGACAGACTGTGAACTGACTTAACCTTTTCCTACATGATGGTGGACTTTTGTGGGTGTGCTGCTGATCTACTCCACCCTTGTTCTAAGGTGGGGACTGTGCCTCTGGGCTTGGTTCCTAGTTACATCAAATACACTGTAATTTAATTTCCTTATATCAGCACTTCATCATCTTCCACAGCCAAAAGGGTCCATTACACAAGATGCTGTTAAAGAAAGGATGGGATAAATTGTGTAGTTTTCTTCCACACTGGACATTTGGGCAATCCAAAGCACATCTCCATTTATTCTGACAAGAGGGTTAGATTTAACTCCAGAGTTGGACATTAAATAAAGCCATGCATCTGAACATGCTTGCCCTTGCTAAGATTGTTTTTCTCTTCATTTTGCCCATGAACCACCATGAGAGGTTGAATGAAGAAAATGGATCAAAACAACCTGGACACATAAGCTAGTTTAGAAGAAAATTCCATTTTCATAGCCTGAGACTGTCTCTGTTTGAGTGGGCACAGCTCTCATTGCTCACCTGTTAATGTTAATGGACCAAGCAAGGATATGTTTGGAGTAAACAGCATCGCTTGTCTTCTAATAAGTAATAAGATTCTCAGCCAGATTGGAAATTTAGGTTGGTATTGCACATTCAAACTGACTCTTGCTAAGTGCAGTTAAAATGCAAGTAGACACACATTCAAGCGGTTTAGCACATGTGAAGTGCCTTCATGGCATTGCAAAGTTGTTTCCTTTCAGGCAAGAGTTATCTCCTAACAGGTACTAACTTTAATAGGCCACTATATTCAAATGGCTTGAAACTGTTGTAAGTGAACTTGTGACAAGGCTCTTAATCACAGTTTCTCCTCTTGGTTTTGGTATTGTGTTGGAGCTCCATTCCAGCAAGATGGAAGCCACAACCTTTGGAAAGCCAACAGTAATTAGGAACAACTTCTAATTAATTTTACAAACTGTTCCTGGCAGGAAGCGTATACATTTTCAGGCCACTAGGATGAACTGCATCTGTGAAGTTTTGCTTAGTACCAGGAGTGGGAGAAACCAATGGGTCTCTAACTGCAAGAATAATTTTGATTCATTTTTATCTGTTACATTTTAATCCATATATGGTGGCACCACCTAAAAGCTACTCTGATCACCCAGGAAAAGATGCACCAAAAGCAACTTTACAACATCACTAAAATAAATAACTCCATGATAATTATTTATGTATCCAATGTGAGGTATATATCACAAAAGGATCTCTGATCCCTACTTGGGGTATACGGATGCTACCATAACACAAATTACAAATAATTATTTATCTTATGATGTGTATAAATATATCCCTCACATATATGTAATTAAAATATGTAGTCATACATAAAAGTATATTAAAGATAGTATTATAATATAGATATGTCAAAACAAGGCATACAACTACACAAGTGCTCATTGCACAGAGTGGATGGTTAAAATAGTCCTGGGTTTCAAGAATTGTTTTTTTCATTTTGTGAAACATTTTCTCCCCCTTAGTTTAAACCAAGGGAAACATAAGTAAAGTTCTCTTCGGTATCTCTAGCCAGTATGACATTTGACAATAGGGTTCTTATTCTTGCCTTGCTTCTGGAATCACCAGAGAAATAAGCTAAAATAATACACAGCTTTAAAGCTTATGTTTTTGCCAGTGTCAAAGAGAACTTGAAATATGTTCTGCTTGGACAGCTGTAGGTTGCCAAGTGTGTCCTAACTGAAGCAAATAGTCAGGTTTAGATTGAGATTGGTGATGTCAGCGATTTCAGTATAACTAATAGACTATGAAACTATAAAAAATATTTTACTTTGAAATGGCCCTCAGCAAACAATTTAAGTACTCTTGAATTTGTGTAAAAAGCTCTAATCTGGATTGTATTGCAACAGAGGAAAAGGGCTAGCGTTTTTGGTTCCTCCTCTCCAGATGTGTGTGGTTTATGGCATCTAGCAAGTCCATCTGTTTGCAATCCTCTGATCAGTTACATGAGATGGCAAAACAGTGTCCTGGTATTATTCTAGTGATGCAGACAAGTTTCTGTAGATTTTTTTTTCAGAGAGACTCTCCAGACAATCCAGAAGTTATGGTCATGATGCAGGACTAGCTGTTTGAAATTCCGTAGCCTGCTACAAGTCAGGAGCAAGAGTGTGACTTGGAGTAAATATCATAACTGTATGCAGGAGATCTGTCTAAATGATCACGGCTCTAAGATAGATTTACTATCTGGTTGCAAAGAAAACCTTCCAGATGTAACCTGATACACTGCTATCCGACTGGAAAGATAGGTAATGAAAAACAACAACTGCAACCTGAACAGACTGCTTTAAATGCCCAGTGCAGCTCCCAAGGGACATATTAATTTAGGGCTGCCACCAATATTCCCAGGGAACAGTTCCAGCATCTGGGATTAGCAGGAGCAAAGAAGCATTGCATTAGGCCCTAAATAATTGCACCCAAAAAGGTAAAGTGAAGTGCCATTATATTCAGAAGGAGATGGGTATGATTAGAAGTGGTTGGAAGGTATGAGTTGAAATTTTGTTTTGGTGAATTTTTGGCTGCTTACTAAAGCCAAAATGGTTTGCATAGATGTATCGGTCTCCACAAAACTTTCATCTGGATTGTTGGGGAGTAAGTGATCTAGGTGGCCAGGATAGTGCACTGGAGTGTAGGAGACCTTAGTGCAACTCCTTGAACTGCCTGATCCAATGTGATATCGGTTATAAAGCAGTACTCTGAATCAGGCACAGCAGAGATTTTTTCCACATCCAACACCAATATCCTACGTGCAAACTCTCTCCTTTTTACCCAAAACATACTGGAAGGGTTTTGATTTTCAGCGGGCATGTCTACATGTGCAAATGCTGTGGGGTGGGTTTACTCTAGAGTAAATTACTGGGCAGCCATCTACAGGTGCAGTGATTTGGGAGAAGATTTGGTGCTCCTGGCAGCAGCCACTCCCACCCCCTCTGGCCCTGTACCAGCCCCCTGCAGCAGCCAGGGGGAGCTCCCCCTGCATGCTAGCCCAGGGGCTGGCAGGGAGGGCTAGGAGACAGCTGTCTCCTGGCAGGGGATGGGAGATTGTTCCCTGCCCCCAAGAGCTGCCTGCTGCTGGGGTGGGCTCCAGTGGCAGAGCTGGGCAGAGACAATGTCTCTCTACCCTGGCAGCAGGAAGCTCCAAGCCCCAGCTCCCTAATCGGGGGTAGGGGGCTTGGAAAGAACTGCAGGGGAGGGGGGCAGGTCTCAGCCCCCTGCCCTGATCTGCCGGTGGAGCAGCTAGCGGCAAATGCAAGTAGCAAGTTAACTACAGAATAAATTACCTTGCAGGTGTAGATGGCCGACCAAAAGCAAATTTGCTCCCAGTGAGTTGGGCAGTGGGGGGCAGGAAATTGCTCTAGAGTAAATCCACCCAGCAACATTTGCACGTGGGTGCATCTACACAGATGCTGTCATATGCCACAATAAATTACTGCAGCTTAAATATACGT